GAGGAAAACATAAAGCAGAGACAACCAGAGGCTGTCTGGTCACATGTTAAGTTTTGACCACAAACCTCACTAGGGCCCTCATCACTGCCTGGCAATCATACTACATTCCCCGGGTCAATTCACAATCCCATTCTCCAAGGCCACTCTTTCATATCTCCTCGCTCCTTACATCCACCCACTCACTCTCAGTTGATGACCTCATCTTTTATTCACTGAGAAAACAGAAGCAGACAGAAGAGAACTTCCTCGTCCACCTACAAATGACTCACCCACCACCTCCTTCAGTACCCATATATTCCGCCTTCCCTGTGGACTGTAGCCTGCTCCCATCTGAGACTTACTCCATTGCTGAGGCACCAGACCCAATCCCGAATTGCCTACTTAAAGACTTTGCTCTACAATGATCTCTCCTTCCCTCAATAACATCTGTTCTCTCTAGCGTCTCATTCTCATCAGCCCATAAATGCACTGTAATCTCTCTCCTTCTACATGATCTCTCCCTTTCTTCACAGCTTCTTCTATATATCACTTCATTATTTCTTTTGTCGTATAACAAAACACCTTGAAATTGTTACCTATACTTCTGTCTCCACTTTTTTACCTTCACCATATGATCTCTTCTCAATCCTCTCCTACAAGCCTTCTGTCCCCTCTTCTCAGCCCTTGGTCAGATTTCAAGACCCATTCTCAATCCTCATCTGGAAATTATAACAGCATTTGGAATAGCAATCTTTCTTCACTTGGTTTTTAGATATACACTCCTATTCTCCTGCTACCTTAATGGATTCTCTTTTTCAATCTCATTTCCTTTGTCTCTCTTCTTTTTCCTTACCCTCTAAATATTCATTTGCTCCAGGATTTAGCTCTTGGCCCTGTTCTCTTCCGGGTCAATATGACCTAGCAGATGTCATCTAAGATCATGGCTTTAAATGCAACCTGTATGTTGATGACTCATGAATTTTTATCTTCACACCCAATCTCTCCCCTGAATTCTAGCCTTATATATCCAACTGCCTACCTGACATCTCCACCCTGACATCTAATAGATCTGTTAAATACAACATGTGCAAAACAGAAATCTTGATCATTCCCCCCCTAAAATATGTTCCTCCCACAGATGTCCCCACCTTAGTAAGTAGTGTCACCATTCTCCAGTTGTTCAGGTCCCAAGCGTAGGAGGCATCCTCGAACCCTTTCTCTCCCTCCTGTTGCACAGACAGATCCATCAACAGGTCTGTCTGCAGGACATGTTAATGGAAGGAACGGATCAATGCTATGAAGAAAAATAAAGCAGGGCGGGAGGATAGAATGTACCAGAACAGGGAGAAGAATGAAGGTATTATTTGTTAATCATGGTCCAGGATGGACTCTTTGAGAAAGTGACATTAAAGCAAAGACTTTACTGAAATATAGAAAGGCACAAGCTCCAGAAGGACCTAGAGAGTGAGCATTCCAGCAGAGGGAAGAGCAAGCATGAAGGTCATGAAGTGGTCAGGAATGTCACATCTGAGGAGGAATGGCAAGTTCAGAGTGCCTGAAGCAGACTGAAGGGTTATGACAGTAGACAGGCCAGATTATGAAGGACCTTGTCAGCCTGGGTGAACTTGACGTTTCATTGTATTCTAATTGTTACGAGACACTAACAGGTAGTTTTGAGCAGGACAGTATCATGATATGATTTATGGTTCACAGGTAATTCTGACTGTGTGGTGGAAGATGGATTGTAAGAGACCAAAAGAAGCAGCAATGGGTCCAGCTAGGAGCTTATTGCAATATTCTAGAGGAGGAGTCCGCAAACTTTTTCTAAAAGGGCTGTGCTATGGATGGAATGTTTGTGTCCCCCCAAATTCATACATTGAAACCCTAATCCCTAATGTGATGATATTTGGAGATGGTGCCTCTGGAAGGTGATTAGGTCATAAGGGTGGAGACTTCATGATGGGATTAGTGCCTTTACAAGAAGAGACAGGAGAGCTTTCTCTCTTTCTCTCAATCTCTCTCTCTCTTTGTCATATGGGAATACAATATGAACATGGTCACCTGTAAACCAAGAAGAGGGCCTTCACCGAGAACCCTCCTTTCCTGGTTTCTTGATCTTGGACTTCCAGCCTCCAGAACTGTGAGAAATATGCTTGCTGTTTAAGCCACCTAATCTACAACATTTTTGTAATAGCAGCTTGAACTAAGACAGACTAGGTAGTAAATATTTTAGGTTTCGCAGGCCATCCTGTCTCTGTCACAACTACTGAATTTTGCTCTTGCAGCGCTAATTCAGCCACAGACAATATGTAAATTAAGTGCCGTGTCTATGTTCCAACAACACTCGTTAACAGGTCCTGGGCTGGAGTTGGCTTGTGGGCCATAGTTTGCAGAATTCTGTTCTAAACCAAAAACGGTGATTGCCTGGCCCAGGCCTATCACATAGTCATTGTTTTAGAGGTAACTCTGAACAGTCTTGCTGCTAATGGATTATATGTGGGAGCTGAGGGCTGGCAGAATCCGACATCCTCTTGAGATCCACGTTTTAATCTTCCCATTTTATCACACTGCTTCTGCAGGCATTTCTCGTTTGTCATTCCTTGGAGGATACTAACGTTTATATTTCTACTAGGTGAACAGTTAAAATAAGGTTCCTACCAATGGAAAAATAAGTACTGAGTCCACTTATTGGGAAATAAGATGAACTCCACCCAGAGGGCCCTGATTTTCTGCTAAAATAAAATATTCTCCCCCAAAACAATCTTCTATCCCTATCATGCTCAGTATTTCACCGAAGGGTGGGAGGGGAGTGATGGTGGGCGTGGTCTTCTCAGGTGGGAGGAGTCTTTTATCACTAAAATTGTCTAGAATCTCCGGTGCAAGGTGCCAATACAAAGCAGATGGCGTGTTAACTGTTTTCTTGGTTGCTTTTAAATTCTGTACCTCAGTTCACCTTTTTATCGTCTGTGCCCGGGGGGCAGAGACCCTCACCGCCCCACACCCCCTCGGTACAGCATTGTCCTACCTGTCCCAAGGAGACAATGAGGCCCTTCGCTAACACCTTTGCATGTAAGCAGTGAGACACTGATACTTAGTCCTGATTCTTCATAAATTTTACGTGTGCTATTGAGAAAAACCTTCCATTAGGAAGGAAAAGGGGGAGAAGAGAGTGAAAAAAAAAACTTAGTCACTTAACGGAATTAGTTATGTGTCACTAAATATCTGAATATCTAGCATCTTCCCAAGGAGAGCAACCCATGGATACAGAGTATGAAAAACACTATCAAAAACAGGGACACTTCATATGCTGCTGAGCGTGAACTGAATGCACGAGGGAGAATCCAAGTGGGCAGCCTGTGTCCCCAGCAACTTTCCACTCTCCTTTTCCTGTTCTGTGCCTGTCCAGGTTGCCATCCCCTTGCTGGGAACACACTGTACTGGGTCTGGCTGCAGAGCATTCTCGGTGTAGTAATAAAGTGCACACTTATAATGTTGGGCTGAGTGACAAGAACAACATGAAATAACACTCTACCCACCCACTGAGAAAACCGAGTGTGTCACACTCCTCTGTGTCATGGTTTTAAAAATATCTCCACTGACGGTCCAAGTCTCAGGTTGGGTTTGAGGGGTGTTTAATGACTGACTGTGCCAGGTGGAAAATGTTTTCATCAGACTCCCAAGGACCCGAGTGATGGACGTCTGCTGGCTTTGCGCGTGTGTGTGCATGAATGTGTGCTTAAGAAAAATGGGGGTAGATGGCTGTTTCTCTGCTCACTTTTTTCCCCTTTTTCTTTATTTTTTAATTACATGTTCCTGACAAAGAGGTGTGGTCCCTGGCACGGCACCGCAGACTCTCTTCCACCTCTAACCACACGGGGAGAAGAATACAGACGGCTTCTCAGCACTCACCGTGATTCTCAGCATCAGTGGAAACACAAACCCAGGGGCAGGCAAAGAGCTAAGGCTTCTGAGAAGAGGGGTTTAGGAGCCTATCGACTGTCTGGAGAGACGGATTGGCCCTTCCAAAGGGTTTATCTCTTGCTTTCCTCCTACCTTGCTTCCTTGCTTAAGAAGAGCACAGCCAAGCGCAAGGCCACTGGAATTTTGTCACAGAGTAGGGGGTTTCCAACAACAGGAGGAGCCTTTTAACCCCTTTGTGGTTTATTCTTGCGTACCTTGGAATCTCCAGCACTTACCAATTCTGGCAAATTGTTTAATCTTTAAGCCTACGTTTCCTGATTTGTAAAAGAGGGTGAGGATAGTGCCTACATCTACAGGTTGTAGTGAAGAGTAGATGATGGGACTCAAGGCAAACGCTCAAGGATTGTCAGCTGTGTTTGTAGCTTCAGAGTTTTACTGGTTACAAACATGTGGAAATAAAGCCTCTCACTTGCTATCACAAAGGAAAAATGTATGAGACCCAGGTGCACTGCTCCCCGCCTACACTCTGACCCATCTCTGTTCCCTTGGACATTGGCTCGCTCTGCTCCACTGACCTCCTGGAATTTTTTCGGACACATCAAGCATACGGGCATTTACCTTTGCTGTTTCTTCTGCCTAGAATATTTCACTCCTGAATATCCTCATGACTTGCTCCATCACTATTCTGATATTTGCTCAAATTTAATTTATTGGAGAGAGACTTTGCTCTCCAAACAATCTCAAATGGGACCCCCACTAACTCAGCCACTGTCTCTCTTTCCTCTGTTATTTGCCTTTTTACTACTACCTGCATGTTACGTATTTACTTATTAATATATTTATTACCTAGCTCCCCTGCTAAAATGTAAGATCCATGAAAGGAAGTGTTTTGTCTTTTGTTGTTGTTGTTGATTGCAGCATTTCTAATATCTAAAATGGTACCGAAATACAGTAAGCCTCTGCTAAATATCAATTAAATGAACGAACTAATAAAACTTATACAAAATTCCCATCTTACAGAGGGAGTCTTGTATGGTCACACTGCCAATAAGTTGCCAAGTCAAAACTCACCCCAGGATCTCCAGGCATCTTTCCAGTTTATCCCATCAATGAAGAAGAATGAAAACACTCAGGCAACCAAGACTGTTCTGAGCCTTGACCCGACCTTTGTAACTTTGGACGTGAGATAACTTTCAACTTAAATCCATGAAATTCACATTGGAATCATTGCAATCTTTCCTCTCCTGGGTATTCTCAGCCCATGTAATATTATATTTGACTGGAGATATTCCATGTATGTGTAGAGAAAACTTTAAGATTTATTTCTTTATTGACCAGATTCTTCTTGGGATCTATATACTTCTCAAGGGTCTCAAGACTTTTATAAAGTTCCCAGTAATTGGGCAGATTTGACCTTGCTCCTTCAGACTTCCTCAAGGTCACCTTGTCTGAAATAGATGGAGGCCTCTTCTCTACGATTAGGTCTTTGTACGATATGTTTCATGCTGGACGAAGAGATCTCTCCCATCCAGAGAGTGTAGTTTTCCTCAAATTGCATGTACAAATGTTCTTCCTGGCCTTTTAGGATTTCTGTATAATGGAGCAAATCACGCCAATTCATAAGTCTGGAAACTGCATCACAGTGAACCCTGACCTATGAAAGTTGTCAGCAAGATATTGAGGGACCAGGCAAGTGAATGAAGTCATCTGCTAAAAGTTCTGAAGATATATAAAATTATTCTCATACTGCTCTTTTGTTTCCACTCAGTGTGAGGACAGCTGAGGTGGCTAAGCGTGATTCCCCCTACTATCACCTACTGAAAAGTAAATTCCAAGGCCATCTTTGGAAAAGCCCAACAGGAAATTGGCTAAATGCTCACACGTCCACAAAGCAAACCACACTTTTACCATGGATAGCAGAGCTTAGCTCAACAACTAACCTAGCTTTGAAGGCACATAACGTGTCCCGTTCTCAGACGTCTCAGCTCAGGGTCAGGTACCACAGGAATATTTTATTTTATTATTTTTAGTCCAGAAGAAAAGCTTCCCTCTCTCTGCTTGGGGCCCACGTGTTCTCAGGACTTTCAGGACCTGGTGAATTGAAGACATGGTTTTGCCCACTGTTGTGTTCCATTTTGGACGCAGTAAGTCATTTTCTCTTTATATCTGAAACAGAAGCCTGATTGTTTTACATCTGGGCAATAGAACTTATGATCCTTCAGCAGCTTGGCTCTTTAAAAATGACCTCTGGGCATTTTCCTCTGCCATTTAAGTCATATGTAGTAGGAAACAAGTATAAACCTTCACTCCCTAGTTCATATCTTTTCCTATTGCTGAAAGGGTTCAGAGTGTGTTGAGTTCAAAAAGAATAAGCAGAAATTGCGACTCCGAAACCCAAAGGTTCCGGTAGGGAACTTACTCCACAGATTCTCTCCAGCCTCACCCACCTCCTGAGTGTCCCCAGCCTAGCTGCTCCACGGCGTCTTTGCTGAGACTCTCCAAAGAACCTCCCTCCAAAACGATGGTAGCCCAAGAGGCTGCCATCCGGTGACATCAGACCCATTGGCAGGAACCACAGTGGCACTTCAGACAATATGCCAGGAGTTCTAGGAGCCAGGCATGAGGTGGGTAGTCCAAATAACCATTCCCGCCCAAGCTGCCCTCTACTGGGACAACCCACCACTAATTAAAGGCCATCTGTTTAGAACATCCAGGCTATCCTGCCAGAAGCAGCCAGATGTCAGCACGTTACTCCAGTCCATGACCTCTCTTAGAATATTAACATGGATTATTTATGGGTGGGCTGGTGTGGTTACCCTATATGAGCCTCTTTCCTGGTGTATAGTTTAAGATACACACACACACACACACACACACACACACATACACATATTTATATATATAATATATAAACTTTATGACAATACTATTAATTTTGGGCCTTGCCAAGTTCCGGACCCATAGGCTCTGTAGTGGGGTTCTGGGCCTGGCTCAACAATAATAATTTTTAAAAACACTCCAATGTCTCATTTCTCATGTTTTTTCCATGGGCCGTACCAAAGCATAGATATGAATACTCTCTTCACGCGGATTCACTGGCATTTAGCTCTTGCCAACTGTCTGTGAACTACTCTCTCTCCTTCAATTAGGGAGGAGTGCCAAGTGAGTGCCTTTTTAAGACTTGGAAGAGAATTGGGTGTCATCATTCTTGATGATGTCCTCCTTGTTATTCTAAGTTGCGAGTTGAAATGTCTTCTATCCAAAGCAGATGCTGGGCCAATTAGTTGACCCCATGAGGGGAAGAAAATTGGACGACTACAGAATTAAGAACCATAAAAGCTGAATTCTAGTCCTGGCTCTACCATCTATGTGTCATGGGAACCTGGACAAGTTACCTGCTCTTTCCAGGTCTCAGACTGTTCTTTTCTATATCCCCCACACTATGCGTCTTACATATAATGAGTGCTGATAATTAACTCTGAAATGAATATACATTTTTAATAAAAATATTTAAATAGATTGAGCAATACCTATCCTTCATGCTGAATCTGCATTTTGTGAAATGTAAAATAAAAATGCTGAAGAGAGTTAACTCCGCATGGGTCTAAGGTACTGATATTATTAGCATTCAGCCTACCTACCTCAAAGGAATGTCGCAAGGAGAAAGTGAGATAACCTCAGCAATTCTGACTTGATACATTTAAAAGGACTGTGCCAGTCCAAAATGTCACATTTTTCATCTTTAAATTTTCCCTCTCATGTTTTCCCCATTCCAACTGAGCACCCCAAACTTTTTTTTTATAATATCTCACCCTTGCCACCCGATATCTAATTATTATTAGATTCTCTAGACTAATGGTTGTCAACTCAGGTAGTGCCACCTCCTAAAGGGTGATTTGCAAACGTCTGTGGGCATTTTCAGGTGTTACAATATGAGGACAGTGGAGACCCTAGTGGCGTTGAGCATATAGGAGTCAGTGAAGATGCTCATTCTGCAGCGTGTTGGCCAGCGCTTCACAGCAAAGAATTACCCTGAGTCCCATACCATCCTTAAAACATTTCATTCAACATTAATAAAACCTACTAATACTTATCTGAGCCTAGAAACTAATTTTGTCTCACACATTAATACAGTTCTTTATGGTTTAACATTCCATGAATATTCCAGAAACGCAACTTTCATGTAAATTTTTAAAAGATTATATTGCACATTATTCAAAAATTCCTCAAGAGGTGTTTGCCGTTTTGGAAAATCACATCAAGAATGGAAACATCACCACAGGACTTGATGAAACACATTTGTATGGGGGCTGCTACATAGGATGGTGTGGTGTGCACAGCCCTGTTTGTCTTAGTTGGCATTTGCAGCTGGTGCATTCACACATCTGGCTACTTCATCATGCTTGTAGTGGAATGGCATCTCAGTATTTATACACTACAACAGGCAGGATTGGCTTCATGGATGTGGACCCTGCTCTTGGTTGACTGCTCTGTTATCACTGTCTTGAAACTCTTAATAATTTTTATTAGGAGCCTGCATTTTCACTTTGTACTGGGGCATGCAAATTATAAAGCCATTCCTGAGAATAGGGGTTGACAAATATTTCCTGTAAAGAGCCTGATAGTAAATACTTTAGGTTTTGATGGCCAAGATGGCGTCAAGGATACTATGTAGGAACTTATACAAGCATTTAAAAAAACAGCCATTTAGAAATTTTTTTAAAATCACCATCATCTCATGGACCATATAAAAACAGGTGGAGGGCTGTATTTGGTAGTTTAATGAGCCAGGTACTAGAATATATGTTTTATTATAAAATAATCACCTCATTTCTTCTGTATATTACAGTTAGGGCATTCTACTTATTTTTCTGGAACTATGTTTGTAGATAGGTTATATTCTCGGTGAATGTCATCTCAAGATAGTAAAGGAGGCTTTCAAAATCTAAGTGACCAAAAGAGGGTATTAGGTCTGATAACATTGCTCTAGACCATTCCACGCTTGCTCTCTCTACCTCCATTTTCTTCTCACTACAATTATTCTACATATTGCTGTCAGACTGATTTTCCTCAAAATGCAGCTTTGATCACGCCACGTCACTGCTCAGAAATCTTCTTTACCATCTTTTCTACTGGCTAACTTGTGGATATTTCAGATTTGGATAGAACACTAGCCCTAAGGTCTTCTTTTAGCCTTTATCTCCCGATTCTCTTTCATGTTGCTTCTTATCCACTATCCTTAAATGCATGTTTCCAAGGCCAGTGGTTCCAGGAAAGTGTTGCCCTGGAACTCTATGGCTCTCTAGATCTTTCTCATGATGGCCCTCACATTCTGTGCTTGCAGTTGCTTAATTTTCCCTATTACATTGGAAGCACCTTGGAAGCAGGGACTCATTAGGCCTCCAGAATCTTTAACAGTGCCTTACTGATAAGAAGTATTGAATAGGGGCCGGCCCTGTGGCGCAGGGGTTAAGTGCTCACGTTCTGCTTCTCGGTGGCCCAGGGTTCGCCGGTTCCGATCCCGGCTGCGGACATGGCTCCTCTTGGCACACCATGCAGTGGTAGGCGTGCCACATATAAAGTAGAGGAAGATGGGCATGATGTTAGCTCAGGGCCAGTCTTCCTCAGCAAAAAAGAGGAGGACTGGCAGTAGTTAGCTCAGGGCTAATCTTCCTCAAAAAAAAAAAAGTATTAAATAAATATTTGTATGATTGGATTAAATTATAATACTTACTAATCCAGGATTTAAACCTTGAGATTGTTTGCCGGATAAAGCAGCTCCTCTCATAATTTCTCTTCCAAAATCCCTTCCCTGACATCTGGGGTAGCAGACACTGATGTTTGCTTTTTTTTTTTCTGAGGAAGATTCGCCCTGAGCTAACATCCGTGCCCATCTTCCTCTATTTTATATGTGGGACGCCTGCCACAGCATGGCTTGACAAGCAGTGCATGTGTCCGCACCCAGGATCCGAACCGGCGAAGCCCAGGCCACTGAAAGAGAATGTGTGAACTTAACCGCTGCACCACCGGGCCAGCCCCTGATGTTTGCATTTTTAGCATCCAGTTTGTCTTCTTTTCTAAAAATGAAACAGATATGCAGCCTGACTTTGTTGCTGTGTCCTCCCTACCTCCCTCTAGAGGACAGTCTGGATTAGTCTAAGTCAATCGGGACTAGAGGTGCCAGATAAAATACAGGATGCCCAGTTAAATTTTAATTTCTGATAAACAACAGATAATTTTTTAGTGTAAGTATGTCCTGACATACTCAAGTATAGTATGGCCTGACAACTCAAGTAGACCAAAAGGGAAAACTTATGTTTTATGTTTTGGAAACGGTTTTTTCTCTCTGGTGCTGAACCTGAGGAGGCAGCATGAAGCCACTTGCCGCCATCTTGGGGCCCACCATCCTAGGCTACATAGATGTGGAGTGTGGAAGAGCAAATAAATCTTTAAAAAGATCTGAGTCCTTGCTGATGTAATTCAGTCACACTCATACCTTGCCTGGGACTTGCCCTTTCTCTGTATTTCTAGCTAAAGAAATGAATAATATCCTCTTTGTTTAAGCCAGTTGAATCTGCGTTTTCTGTTACCTGTAGCAAACACGTGCTGATTAATTTGCTTTATTTTGGTTCTACAGCAAACAGATATCCCAAGATTCCAGCCTCTTATTACTAACAGTTACATCACAAGTTTAATTCTTACAAAACCCAGTGGACAGGGCTGTTTTCTGTGGCCACAAACTCCACACTTCGCTCCTGTTAGCTGCTCATAAATCGGAACCAGGCAAGGGACTCTGAGTACGGCAGTGGAAAATCTATTCACTAACACTGGACACACAAGTTAAAGTCCCACCGTGAGTTTCAGGATACGAAGTCCCGTTGCAACTTCCAATGCCCAGGCTGTTTTGAATCTTTAGCCAGCTACCTCTTTTTATTTTTCTCTTTACTCCGCTGATGTCTTTTTAGTAGAAAGCTGCTCTATTTGCCTACTCAGCTTCCATTCTTCCTTCTTCAAATAAAAATACTTTCATTTTCTTTTGGACAGTACTTCTTTTGGATTCTCAGTCTCTATGCTTGGGATGGTGCTGAAAAAATGGCACACTGCCTATCCCAGTCTAGTTAGCATATACGCTTCTTCAGAGCACAGTGATTGGTTCAAAGTTGGGCATTGTTATCATGGTAGTCTAATGAGAGTGGATTCTGGGATTTTTGCTGGAACTCTTGGGAAGAAGTTCTTACTCTATATGTGTTATTAAATTAATATATCTTGAGCTTCTAAGCACAAGCACAAAGAAGGAAGCCAGCACAAAACAGTGGAGGCAACAAATGGGAAGGTAGAATGATTGCTTTGGCTCTCACTTTGATACTTATTTCTGGCTTTAACTAAAGTTAACTTCATGATTGACCTCTGTGGAAGTGCTATGAGCCAGTAAGATCTTATGTTTGCTAACTGCCATTTCAGGAAGAGTTTGGTTGTAAGTGACACAAAGCTAATCAATGCATCACCTCTGTGGCTATGCTCATGGTTTAAGAGGATGTTCCTTCAGGGGCATGAATTATTATGAATTGAGCACTTCCTTGGCTAAGCTACTTACACACTTTATTTTACTCAATCCCTCCCAGAAATATTGTTCATTTGACCGAGGAAGAGTAAAGGCTCAGAGAGTTTGACTAGCTGAGGTCCCACAACTAGAAAGAAGCCTAGGCAGGATTTAAACTTACATTTTACTTCCAAGCCAGTTCTCATCACCATAGGTTTAGAGGGTGTCTGAATAGCTCCCTATAATAGTTAGCAAAGTCTTACATAGGACATACTGTGTGCCGGAATTGTTCTAAACACTTGACATATATACCCACTTAATTTTCACAACAACCTTATTAAGTAAGAATAATTATTCCCATTTCGTAGATGACAAAACAGAGACATTGAATAGTTAACTAAGTTTCCTGAGATCATACATCCAGTAAGCAGGTGAGCTGGTTTTTGAACCTGGATCATCTGACTACACAGTGCAAATTCTTAGATAACTCAATAAACTTCCTTTTCTGGATTCAGGAGATTAACAGCATTCCACAGCTGTTTCTTTAGGGATGAAAGACTTCATGGGATTAATCTGCCAAAGGGTGACAACCAGAGATCAGATTCTACCTTAAACAAAGGTAAATCTCTATAGTCTTTAAAGGTGAGTATCTCATAATCTCAGCCATGTGACTTTGAAATATTCTTAAAGAGATAAGAAAGAAATCAGGAGCTATATCTCGAAAAGAGATGACATTCACCTTACCTGGATATTTCTTCCTGGTTTTGTGCAACCAGACAATTTCTGAGAGAGGTGCTCTGAGGAGGAATAGCCCACTGGGGAGAAAGCAGAGAAGGAGAGAAGACATGCGCTATAACTTTGTAGAGGGTTCCCCTGAGTGGCATAGACGTTTAAGAATTGTTCTCGGGAAGAATTTCTGCAGGATTTCTCTTCCCCTGTTATGTTCTCCTGTTTGTTGTTGGTCTCAAGCATTACAAATGATATGTCTAAAGTTTAACATTTAATGAGTACTTGCCACGTACCAGGATGTTTTATCTATTTTTTTTTCTTTTGAGGAAGATTAGCCCTGAACTAACATCCACTAACTAACATGCCAATCCTCCTCTTTTTGCTGAGGAAGAATGGCCCTGAGCTAATATCTGTGCCCATCTTCCTCTACTTTATATATGGGACGCCTGCCAAAGCAAGGCTTGCTAAGCTGTGTGTAGGTCCGCACCCAAGATCCAAACCAGTGAACCCCAGGCCACCAAAGCGGAACGTGAGAACTTAACTGCTGTGCCACTGGGCAAGGCCCTGTTTTATGTATTTTTAGCCAGCCTATTCAACGGGGGTCATAGACCTAACTTGAGCAATCTTAGCAAATACAAAATTTCTTTGCCCATGTGGCACTTTGTATTAGCCAGGATAGGCTTTGTTATGTGGCATCACAAGCACGACATTTCGGTGGTTTGACACAGCAAATGTCAATTTCTTGCATTTTTAAAGTTTACCGTACAGGACAACTGTCTTCCATCAGGAGTTCAGCATTCCAGAGAGCGTCAATGTTGTAACACCTCCCTGTCAACCCATACGCTGTTTTCCCTATTATTGCCGCAGAGGAAGAGAACACGGAGAATCTCTTACCATGTAAAATCACACGAGGAACTTCTGCTCACAGCTTACAGGCCAGAGCGAGTCACGTGGCCCTTCTTAATTCAAGGGCATACCAGAGGAGTATCATCCTTCATATACTCCAAAACAGAAGAGAAGAAAATAATAATACTGATGAATAATCTGATGGATGATACTGATGTCTGCTGTCTGCCAACTTCAAAAGGACCTGGAAGGATAAATTACATCTTCCCTTGACTTAAGATCAATGATGTGTTTGGACAATCAGAGGGCTGACACATGAGACATTTTAAAACCTCTCTTAGTAGTAGCCATTTAACATTAAAAAAAAGTAATTTACTGAGGTTAAATTCATATAACATAAAATCACCATTTTAAAGTGGCATTTATTACATTCACAACGTTGTGCAACCTTCACCTTTATCTAGTTCCAAAATCTTTTTATAACTTCTAAATAAAATCCATTAAATAGCCATTCCTCATTCCCCCCTTCCCTCAGGCCTTGGTAACCATCAATCTGTGTTCTGTTGCTATGGATTTATCTATTCTGGATGTTTAATATATATAGAATCATACAATATGTGACGTTTTGTGTCTGGCTTCTTTCACTTAGCGTGTTTTTTGTTTCGTTTTGTTTTTGCTGAGGAAGATTTGCCCTGAGCTAACATCTGTGCCAATCTTCCTCTATTTTGTATGTGGGTTACCACCACAGCACAGCTGCCAATGAGTGGTGTAGGTCTGCATCCAGGAACTGAACCTGGGCTACTGAAGCAGAACATGCTGAAATTAACCACTAGGCCACTGGGCTGGCCCTCACTTACCATGTTTTGGAGGTTCATCCATGTTGTAGAATGTATCAGTACTTTATTATTTTTTGTGACTGAATAATCTTCCATTGTAAGTATATACCACAATTTGTTTATCCATTCATTCACTCTTTCTACCTTTTACTATTGTGAATAGTGCTGCTATGATCATGTATGTACACGTACTTGTTTGAGTTCCTGTTTTCAGTTCTTTTGGGTATACACCTCAGAGTGGAACTTTGGGGTCATGTAGTAATTCTATGTTTGACTTTTTAGGAACCACTAAGCTGTTTTCCACAGTGGCTGAACTATTTTACATTCCCTTCAGCAGTGGATAAGCGTTTCACTTTCTCCACATTCTTGCCGACACTTGTTACTATCTTTTAATTATAGCCTATCTTAGTGGGTGTGAAGTGATATAGCATTGTGGTTGTGATTGCATTTCCCTAGTGACAAATGATGTTGAGCATTTTTCCATTTGCTTGGTGGCCATTTTTATATCTTCTTTGGAAATGTTTATTGAAGTCTTTTGCCCAATTTTAAATTGGGTTGTTTACCATTTTGTTGTTGAGTTTTAAGATTTCTTTGTACATTCTAGATACTTAACTCATCAGATATTTGATTTGCAAATATTTTCTACCGTTCTATAAGTTACCTTTTCACTTTCTTGATAATGTCCTTTGATGCATAAAAGTTTTTAATGTGATGAAATCCAGTTTGTCCAGTTTTCTTCTGTTGCTCATGTTTTTAGTGTCATGTCTAAGAATCCAGTGCCAAGTCCGGGGTCACAAAGATTTAACTCTATGTTTTCTTCTTAGAGTTTTATGGTTTTAATTCTTATACAGTCATTCACCACACAATGATGTTTTGGTCAACCACAGAACACATACACAATGGCAGTCCCATAACATTAGTCCCGTATAGTCTATGCATATAGTGGGCTACACCATCTAGGTTTGTATAAGTACACTCTATTATGGTCGTGCAATGACAAAGTTGCCTAACTATGCATTTTTCAGAAAATATCTCTGTCATTAATTTTGAGTTAAGTTTTATATATGGCATGAGGTATGGGTCCAACTCCACTTTTTTGCGTATGGTTATCCAGTTGTCCCAGCACCGTTTGTTGACGAGACTATTCTTTCCTCATTGAGTGGTCTTGGCACCCTTGTCAAGAAGCAATTGGCCACAAACGTATGGTGTCAGTAGCCATTTTTAATATATAACAAACTTTACAATTATAAAAACTATTTTTCAATCACACGTATTTCTCAGGCTTCATTTTAAAGATATTTTCTCTTTCCTGCAGTCTTCAGAGAAAATGGAGGAAAATTGGCCCTATAAACATATAAACTACAACAAATATGACTACCTGAATTGACATTCAGCCAGTATTTGTGGGCACCTTAGTAAGTGAAAGGTGATGTATTTGATTCTGTGGGATAAAATATGAATATTCTATAGTTCCTGCCACACAGGAAGGAGTGCTGCAACCGAGTGGAGAAGGGAAGCATGTATACAAATAACTGCGCCCAACTTTTAAAAAGTGACACAGAAGCACCAAGAAAAGAATGATTCATTTGACTGTGGGTGTTGGGGAAGACATCATGAGGAGGAGAGTGGGTAGCATGAGGCACTTTGAGTAATATTAAGGAAAACTTTTTCTGATGATAATGTTTTAAAATTCTAAGGCTGGTCATGTTAACTTTGACCTTAGATCTCACTAAAATGGCCAAGATATTAAACATTGCAATGGTTGTATCCAGATTACAGTTATTTCATTGGCATATGAGGAGTTAAGCCTTTCAAAGTTTTCTCCTAATTTGTATATTTTAGAAAAAAAATGTTTCAATACAAAAACACACAAAAATATTTTTAATAGTATGTCTGGCTTGATATTTGTGGGATGGGAGTGAGGAAATAAAACTCTTACATGTACTATGAATCTAGGTGACTTCCAGGTGACTCGGAGATGTAGATTTGCTTACATGTGATTAACTGGGGAGAGTTCTTGAGTATATAATCATAAAGGAGTGAGGAAAGTGAGGATTGGGCAGAGAGAAAATGAATGGCAATGTAGTTACAACAGAGACATCAGCTGATCCCATGGGGAGCTCTGGAGCTGGATGACCCCTCAAAGATGTCCTGAATTGAGGTAAGGATACTGGATCTTTGTCTACCACATATATCAGACATTGGTTGTGGGCTGCTCTTGGAAAGGGTGCATAACCTTGGACAAGGTGATGCCTTCAGGCTGAAGGCAATTCCTGGAGACAGATGGGGCTGTTTGCTGTCAGCAGAAAATACTTCCTACACCTGGGCAAAGAATTTCGTCGGTCTCAAAGGTGGAATCTGGACTGTGCATTACAGCATCCACTATAGAAGGTAAGGCTGGTATCACCATGGTTACCATTTTCAGAGGAGGAGAATGAGACTCCATAGTTTAATACCCCATCTGAAGTCCCACGGCTATGTATGACACAGTTACTACCCAAACCCAGGTCTTCTGATTCCAAGCCAGGTTGCCTTTAAGCAACATTACTGTCTCTCAAAATGTGCAGTACAATTTAATCTCAAAAAATATTTAAAGCCAGTTGAACTTCAATCAGTTAGATTTCACAACTCTTACCTGGGAATCCCCATTTTCCTTCCAAAACATCAAATTCAGTTCTCAACTTGCCTGTGTCGAGAAATTCTTCTGAACCTCCAGTCCTAAAAGTGAGGTGGTTTTCTTTCACACACAAACACGCGCATTTATGCGAACTTTAAAAGAAGCTTTCATATAGAGTGAAAGCAGAATATTATTGGAATTATTATTAGATTAATGAAATAACACAGTATCCAGACATCTATGCTATTTTCAGACTAGAATCTATGCTGTGCTATTTTCAGGAATAACACAGCATCCAGGCATCTCTGCTATTTTCAGACTGTAGTATAGGAAAAAATACGTATTATCAAAGAAGAATATGTGTGAAGATTAGGAGAGGGAGATGCACGAAGTGGTCAAAATGTCAGCTTGAGGCAAAAAATTGACTTGAAAGCCAGAGAGAAGAAGGCATTTCTGGGCAATGTTCTCTTTCTTTCCAACACAGTGCCCTGAGAACCAAAAAATCAGGTGAGTCTCTGCCTCCCAAGGCCTGCAAGCCAGTTACTAGCTACTTGAGTTCTAGTCCCTAAGAATCCGTCGTGTTGGAATTCAGAAGACAATCACGTTGTAACGGCCGTCAACATGGAAGCTCATTGGAAGGAAGTAGGGTTTAGTGCTTAAGCATGAGGATTCACGAAGAGTTTGGATCTTCACTTACCACTTCCTGGCTGTATGACTGGGATAAGGATCTTAATCACTTAAGAACTAAAAATATTCCTTATCTAGAAATGGTATAATCCTAACAACAATTTCATAGGGATGTCGTGGTATGAAATTGAGATAATATGTATGAATCTCCTAGTACTGAGCCCTTACTGAATGACTGATTTAGTACTCTGTTAGCTCTTATTTTATGTATGTTTTATTTCTAAGTGTTTATGTGTGTGTGTATTGGACCCAAAAAGACTGGAATATGTTATACTAGTATTATAGAGCAGCATGATCAATAGAACTTTCTGTGATGGTGAAAATGTTCTTTGTCTGTGCTTTCCAATATGGAAGCCACTTGTGACTATTGAATACCGGAAATGTGGCTAGTGCAACCGAGAAATTGTTTTTAATTTAGTTTATTTAATTAATTTAACTGTGAGTTTAAATAGCTGCGTGTCGCTAGTCGCCACCTTCATGGATTGCACGGTTATGGAGATTCAAAATGGAGGATATTTTAGATATTATCTAATTCAAAGTGAGCCTTACAGGGGGTAATATACATATTTCAGAGAGCTATGAAATAACATGCTTAGGGTTTCACAACCACTAAGGGGGCTGAGCCAACGTTTTGGTCCAGCTCCAATATTCTAAATCCAAAGCATCTTATTGCCACATGGCATAACAAAGTTAATGACTTAAAGACATGCGCAGGTTAACAGCAGAGGCAGGGTTGCGGCTCCTAAACTCCAAAGGTTATAGTTATCATCAATACCATAATCACATTAACTTCCAATTTCTGAGTACCTACTCTTTGCTTAGCAGAGAACATCAACAGTCTTGACCTCTGTGCTGCTATACCTCCCTGATGGGTCTCTCAAACTTTGACTGACACGGTGAGCCCCTGTATCTTTCTAAGGTGTAACCACTCATGCTTTGGAGTATGTGCATCTTCCCAAGGCCTCCAAGGTGCTAGTCATGTCTTGCTCTTCTGGTCTGAGGAACACAATGTTATCAATACACTGGAAGAGTGTGTTGTTCTATGGAATGTCTAGATGGTCCGGATCTCCTCAGATTACATTATGATAGAGGGTGAGAGAGTGAACCTAGCCCTGGGACAAAACTGTAAATGGATTTTGGTGTCCCTTCCAAGACAAACAAACTGTTTTATAACTCTTTTCTGATAAGGCAGGAATAGAATACATTCTCCAGAACAATGACCACATACCATATACAAGACTCATATTAATTTTCTCTAGCAAATTTACCGCATTTAACACAGTAGCTGCAATTGGGGCTACTACGGGATTCAGTTTGCAGTAGTCTATTGTCAACTTCCAGGATTTGTCTGCTTTTCTGCAGGAGCCAGATTCCTGAATAAATGGTGTTATAATGGGGACTATCTTGTTATGCAAGATAGTTGGCAAATTTTTTCTGTAAAAGGCTAGCTAGTAAATATTTTAGGCTTTATGAGTCAAGTGGAAAAGTTGAGGCTATTAGGCAGGTAATTAGGTAATTAGGCAGGTAACATTTAAAAATATAAAATCACTTTTAGCTCACAGGCCACCCACAGGTGGAAGGTCAGAGTGATCTGCAGTTTGCTGATCTCTGATTTAATCCTTCGAATCTTTAAGGGTGGCGTTAATTTCTGCCATCCTGTTCAAGATGAAATATTGATTTTGATTCACTATCTTCTCTGGGGGGTTTCCGTTTAAGAGCTTCCACTTGTCCCTCTCTGCTTCCGTCGCTGTTACCCCATAGGCCATTATGGGGATTGGGCCAAACACCAGGGGTATCTTTAGGGGCTGGGGAAATGATCACTCTGTGCCGCTGAAGATACAGTGGATTCTCTGTTAGCTGAATTTGAGGCAGGACTTCATTGACGTGCTCCCTTTCTTTTTGTTTTTTTGAAGATTGGCACCTGAGCTAAAAAGATTGCCAATCTTTTTTTCTTCTTCTCCCCAATCTTCCCCAGTACATAGTTGTATATTCGAGTTGTAGGTCCTTCTGGCTGTGCTATGTGGGATGCCACCTCAGCATGTCATGAGGAGTGGCGCCATGTCCATGCCCAGGATCCAAACCTGCGAAACCCTGGGCCACCGAAGCAGAGCGCACGAACTTAACCACTCGGCCACGGGGCCAGCCCCCGATGTTCTCCCTTTCTAACAGAGGGGCCATGATTATGCTTCAGGTACGTGGGTTATCTGTGTGAACTTGGACCCGATGTCTCACAATCCTCAGAATGTTTGGCTATTCCCTTTTTCCCTGTGTGTACTCACCCGAGTAAATGGCAATAGGCTCCTTTGAAGAAGGACTGGGGGCATCCTTAGTGTGTATACTTGCAGTGGTGTTGCAGGGTTCTCCTTCCTGAGGATCCCACCTCTTCCTCATTCTATAGGTTCCAGGGCCAAAAGCGGTTCAAGGTGCAACTGACCTCACCCAAGCATCAGTCTTTGATTTATTTTAATTGTAAAGGTTGAGTGTGCCCTTGTTGGCTTCTCATTTCTTTTGCCATTCTTTTAACCATCTCTATGAGTCTCTGCCGACCAGGGTCCCTTGGTTGCCTAACCTCTTTGCTACTCATTATGATAATTGTACCCACTTGGCTTCTGGCAGTTAAGCATTATCATCTGGCCTTTATTGGGATTGTGGTCTTGTCATTTCATTGGAATTGGTGAGCTCAGTTTTGTACCAGCATCTTCTCCCATCGACCCTGTCCTACGGAGCACAGCTACCATTAAACTTCTTGGAGAGGCTAGTGCCCCTCTGCAAAGGGCATTCCTCATTGCTTTGGAAAATGTTGGTTCTTCTGGGCTGTCCCATGAACATTGTTCCCTTGTGGGATTTTTAGTCACTCTAAGATGTCTCCTTCTCTGGCCTTTTATCCCTTCTCCAATGTCTGCCATGGCAGTTCGGGCATTCTACCTAACTTAGTGGGCGCCTTCACTTTTCCCATGCATCTGGGAGCCATCATAACAATGCATTCATGCCATCTCCCAAAGTCCTTGCCGGGGGGCTAAATCCTGTTTTCTGAGAGGGTGCACCCATATCAATAAAACTGTCTTTTATCCAAATTTATATTCTGCTCCCTTCGTCTAGCACTCTCATATTCCAGTCCCATGAGTAGTCTCCCCATTCCTGCCAGGACTTGCCAGCCAGGTCCTCCAGCAACTTGGGATATAGTCCTTTTCCTCCCTTAGCAGCCCCAGCACCTCTCTGGCTGCTTGTGTTGTGCCTTATCCTTAGTTATTAGCCCAGTGGCCAGGACAGGTGTGGGGACAGATCCTGAAGGTAAAGCATGTTGTCTTGTAGGGAAGAGACCTGGGCATTGCCTATAAGCAAGGGGCGAGTGCTAGCTCATCAGAGGTTGTGGATGACTTCTGTGGACTCAGAGAGTACAGGGGAAACTGGGGATCTGAGATTTGTGAGTATCATCATCCCAGAAGTCCCCATCCCATGAGTCGGCCCCATTCTTTCCATCCAGTGCCCTGGCCTTGGCATAGTCACTTTGACTTGGTTGGTAATTAATTTTCTTTGGCCTAGTCTTCTTCTTTCTCTGCCTTCTGCTAGAGGCAACGAGAGCCTCTTTCTTTGCTACCAAGGACGTCCTCTGGTTTTCCCACTTAGCTTTCAGTTGCTGACTCATCACACTCAGCTTTTCTTTTTTCTAGAGTGTCAGTCAAGCTTAGCATTAGCCAACCCACTCCACTGCCCTTTGAGTTGCACTTCCTTCTGTATTTTTAAAGGCCTAATACTTTGCACCAGCTAGTGTATTACCATGCACAGGTACGCCACCCCCAGTCCACGACAGGTGGAGGTTTAACAATCACACTGCTCCATTGTGCTTCATCTGGCCTGAGTGGAGGGGTCCTTATTGCCAGCTGGGTAGCAGGGAATCTCGTCTTAGTGTCTGCTTTCTCAGCCCGTTCCTGGCACCAACTGTCACAGGCTGCGTTCCCTGGGAAGCTGACTCCAGGAGAGAGAATAGTGTGCAGGATGGTTATTACAGAGAACTCCTGGGATCAGCATCTTGTGACAGAGAGGGGAAGGGAGGAGGATTGGGCAGAAGGAAAAGCTGAGCCACAGTGTAGAGCCAACACCACAGGGAGCTCTGGAGCTGGAATCGCTTTCTGAGTTTTCCAGAGTTAGGGTGAGCAGGTCAGGCCTTTTTATCTCATGTTGATCAGTCATTGGGTGTGAGCTGCCCAGCAAGAAGGCACAGCCTTGGGTGAGGCATCTTTCTTCAGTGGAGGCGGTTCTTAAAGGAGGATGACAATTGAGGTTCATCTCAGCTCAACCAGCAACTGGGGAAATCAGGCCTCCACCCTGAAGGGGGTCTGGGCATCACATCACAGCATCCACCTCCTATGCTTATGAGGCGTTACTAGCATATTTAATTTTTTAATAAAATTCTAGATATAGAGCCTTGCCGAGTCCTTAATTTGAACTGTGATGGGCCCCACCAGCAGCAAACATTGAGAGAAAAGAAGCATTTTAAGTAAAAACGTCAGTTGACAGGGCCAACACAGGACATGGAAACACTTTTGTAAACCAAACAAAGGGAGGCGAGGTGAGGAGGGGGGCGGGAGTGAGGGGCTTGTGTGAGGGTGGGTGGGGGATCTAGCCCAGCAAACCACTAAAAAGAAATCTTTTTTACAGCAGCCCCAGGAAACTTATTGAGACCTCATAAAATAATGAGAACCAAGGAAACAACACTTGATGCTAAGTGTCTCTTTCACTGTTTTACAGACTGGGGTAAGATTTTATGAGCTACTTGGCTTTCCCTCTGGATGCCTCTCTGGGAGAAGTTCCTGGTTCCTCAGCCAGTTATTTTAACTTTTGGCCAGACAGTGAGAAGAATCCAAAATA